GGGTCGTCCTCTCTCTCGTTGACCCTCCACCTTTCCAAACACAATGTCTCTCTCCAAGAAATAGTCCCTCCTAACAACATGCTCAGAGAGCTCTGGTGGCTTAAGAAGCTGGCTGTAATCCCGAAAGCATGTGGTTCAAATCTGTGGGAGAGGTTTTACTGCCCTTGGAAACTTGCTGGAGGGTAAGCTATGGGTCAGTTCCAATGTGCCAAATGCTAAACAACACGCTTAAAGTATGTCAGACGGAGCTTCGCTGTCCTTGCCTCCAAGGAGCACCCTGGCCCCACTTTCTCCAAGACCTGTTTGTCTGTCCGTTCTTTTGGCAGTCCTTGTAAGATGACAACGTTACAAACCTCTATTACCTAGGAGGGGGAGTTCTGCCCTGCCTCATAGGGTCCCTAGAGCTGGAATTTCTATGACAGCAGTGGTCTGGCTCTGGGGTGCTTTTAACAGTTAACATGCTCACATGTTAACTGAAAGGTTGGTGGTTCACATCCACCCGGCTACCTCTCAAAAAGTAGTCACCAAAAGTCCTGGAGAAGGTAGCTCACCTCTAAGACACACAGATTGTCATGAGTCAGACAGGCTTCCTAGCAGCTGACATGCCCAAGTCCTGTCTGCAGGTCTGGGGACAGTTCTGTGGCATGGGGATACCAGCCCTCCCTCACGCAGTCAGGGGACAGCTGGGCTAGGGGCCCCTGCAGAAGGGAGACACTCTCCTATTTATGTCTTACCCATCAAAGCCTCACACACAGCAGGCATTCAAGAAACATTTGTTGGCTGAAAAGAAAATAAAAACTTAAGAAGAAATTCACCCAATGGGTGAGGGCAAAATTATCACAGAGCCAAAGGATGGCAGGAGGTCAGGGTCTGCTGGGGAACAAGCACTTTGTGAAAGGCCTGGGCATGTATGTCAGAGAAATCAACCACCGAAAGCCCCTGGGGCCGGGCTCTGCTCTGATGCACTTGAAATCGCCGAGGGTCCAAGATGAGTTGATGGCCACAGGGCAGTGGCTGTGCACTGGGTGGAGGCAAGGTTGTGGGGAGGATGTGGACGGAAATGATAGGATTTGAACTTGAGCTGGGTACCTTGTTCTTGACCACCCTTCCCTCTGAGCTACCTGTTCTGTCTTCACCATCCTCTTCTCCGGCTATCTAGTTCTTTACTCCGATGACTGTGATAGTTAATACTGTGTGCCAAGTGGCACGACTTCAGGGTACATGTTTTATTAGTTATTTTTCTATATCTACACTAATGGTCTTATCCAGCATTTGTCTTTATGGGACCGAGTTCACTTAGCATAATGTTCTCTAGTCTCTCCCAAGTTAGGTAGCGATTTTCAAAACCATTGCTCCTTCAAATCCACCAGATGCTCTGCTGGAGAAGGAGGGGCAATCTCCTCCTGTATAGTCAGATCCAATTTGACGGTACACACACACAAAATAATAAGATAAAAAATATAAAAACAAAATAAAAAAACCAACAAAATCATTGCTCCTGCATGCTGTGTAGTATTCCATTGTGTGAATATCTCACAATTTCTCAATCCATTTGACTGTGGTTGGACATTTGGGCTGTTTCCATTTTCTTGCAATGGTGAATAATACTGCTATGAACATTGGTATACAAATCTGTTTGTGTCTCAGTTCTAATTTTCTCAGGGTCTATTCCAAGCAGTGGAATAGCTGGGTCATATGGGATTTCTATGTTCAGCTTTTTGAGAATGCACCAAACTGCCTTCCAGTGTGTTTGTACCACTGTACAAGCCCACCAACAGTGTACAAGAGTTCCTATCTCTCACAACCTCTCCAACTGTCCGTTGCTGTCCGTTAAACTTTGTCACCGCTACTGGAGTAAGATGGTATCTCATTGTGGTTTTGATTTGCATCTCTCTTACTGGCAGTGACTTTGAGCATTTCTTCATGTGTCTATTGGCTAGCTGAATATCATCCTCTGTGTAAAGTCTTTCCATGTCTTTTGTCCATTTTGTAACTGTGTTATTAGTCTTTTTTCTTGTGGAAGCACTGTAGGATTCTGTGAACTTTTAGTATGAGACCCTTGTCTGAGACAGTACTGTCATATGTTTGGTCCCAGTCAATAGGCTTTCTTTTCACTCTGTTGGAAAATGGTTTTGATAAACAACAGGGATTTAATCCTTAGAGGGTCCCATTCATCAATTTTATCCTCTCCTGGTTGTGCATTTCTGGTTGTATGTGTCAGCCTTTTTATACCATGAGCCAGGCCTCCTAAGCTTGGTCCTACTTTGTCTCTTAGGATCTTTATGATTTCAGACTCTAGCCCTAGGTCTCTGGCTTCATTAGCTCTGCTTATATAGAGACCTCGGCTTAAGACAACATCCTTAGCCTGGCCTCGGTCCACGGCACTGCCGGGTTCGGCCATCGCTGGAATGCATTCACACACAATCCTTAACCCAGCCTCACTCCATAGCGCTCCAAGGTTTGCCATTGTTGGAAAATGCATTCACACACAATCACACCTGGTTTGCATATTAGCTTAGATTCGTTTCTGGGGCATCAACTCTAAATTTCAACAAAAAAGTCGCATGGAGCAAACTTCAGGAAGCATCAAGAGGCTGAAGCAAGAAGTCTTACTTTTCCAAAGCCGAAGCATTCAGTCAAGGACTACTTTAGACTTGGATCTACATCAATGCCCTTGGAGGCTGCAGGTAAGAAAGAAATGATGTGTGTCACTGGGCAGATCTGCTGTGAGAGGTCTTCTCAAAGTTAAAAACCTGCACTAAAGTGCACAGAACCCAAGTGATGGTCTTTACAACCATCTCAGATGAAAGCAAAAGCTGAACAACAAATGAACAGCAAGACTGGAGAAGGACTGATGCCTTTGAGTTGTGAAACTGGAGAAGAATATCGAATACAGATAGACTTTCAGGGGAACAAGCTAATTTGTCTTGGAGAAAGAACAGTCTGAATGTTTCTTAGTAGCTGAGATGGCAAGACTTTCCACCAGATACTTTTACTATCAGGAGGGACGAGTCCCTGGAAAAGGATAATACGCTTGTTAAAGCAGATGAGGAAGAGCCCAATAACGCAGCCTGCTACTGTCTGTGCGACAACGGACTCAAACTTACCAAGAGCTGTGGGGATGCCACGGGCCTGGGTGGTGCTCTGTGCCAGTGAACTAATGGTCGCTATAGACTGGAGCCAAACTTACAAAAAACAACCATCATCCTCTGTTACCTAGAAGGCATGACTTTCCCTGGAGAGGAAAAGGCCACACACAGCAAGAATCTACACCAATGGGCAATTCATCATTCCGTGGGTCTTCTGAGTTTTGCTTTTTTCTAAAGACAAAAAAACCACGTCGGTCGTAGGCCTTCGCGTATATTCTGTGTTAAACACAAGCTGACGCGCACACGTTTTAAACAGCTGTGATCTCTCTTCTCTCCTTCCACCCCTCCAGTCACACTAGCACGTGTCTGTTAGTCTTTACTACATGGGAAGAATGGTGCTAACGCCCCTGCAGAGCTCCCCCTGCAGGCCACAAAGTTCTGCCCTCAGAGGGAAACTTGCCGATTAACAGCAGAGGGAAAATTCACAGAATGGCATCCACTTCCGTATCAGCTTGCCTCCGGAAGCCCTATGAACCTGGAGAAAGGATGAAAGTCACACAAGTGTTGAGGACTTTCATTCATAGGGTCGCTATGAGTAACCTACAACGCAACTAACAGCACTTAACACCACCACCACAGTTTTTGCAGAGTGACCAGAGACACACAGGTGAAATGCAATCAGAATTTTGAACTAGGAGAAATTATGTCCAGTTGGGATGATCAAAAAAGGCTTCCGAGAAGAGGTGACATTCCATCCAGGCCCAGAAGGATGGAAAAGGTTGGAGCATGGAGATGGTGCAAAGGTATGTGAGAACAGAGGCAAGGGAGGGCCACTACTTCCTCTGTGGTCGTGTTGTTGTTGTTAGGTGTCATTTTGTCAAGTATGACTCATAGAAACCTTAAGAACAACAGACCTGAACCCTGTCCCACTCTGTTCTGAACCCTGTCCTATCCTGATCTGAAGGCTGTCCTATCCTGGTCTGAACCCTGTCCTATCCTGATCTGAACCCTGTCCTATCCTGTGCCATGCTCATCATTTTGGACACACTTAAGCCCATTGCTGCAGTCACTGTGTCAGTCCATTCTGTTGGAGGTCTTCATCTCTCTTGCTGACCTTCTGTCTTTCCAAGCATCATGTCCCTTTTCAGGGAACATCCTCTCCTAACAACATGCCCAAAATACAAAGGAAGCTTTGCCTCGAAGGAGCACTCTGGTCTAAGACATATGTGGTTTATCCTTTTGGCAGTCCATGGGATGTTCAGTGCTCTTCTCCAGCACCACAACGCAAAGGCACCGATTCTTCCTTTGTCCTCCTTATTCACTGTCCAGCTCTCAGATGCATAGCACGCACAGCAAAAGATAGAAAAGATCAGAGCCTGAACTGGATGCACCTTAGTCTTCAAACTGACATTATTACTCTTCAGTATTTCGGAGAGGTCCCTAACAGAAGACTTGCCTGAAGCAATGCATCTTCTGATGTGTCAGTACCAAGGTCGTTGATGGTGGATCCAAGTAAGATGAAATCATTGACAGTTTCCATCTTTTCTCCACCTAACATGATGCTGCCTACTGGCCCAGCGGTAAGGATCTTTGTTTTCTTGATGTTGAGAGATAAACCACATTAAGACGGCTTATTGTTTAGAGAACAAGATGCTGTGGTCGAGGGCACCCACGGAGCATGGGGTCCACTGCTGGATCCCGAGGAGGCCACTGCGGGGTGTCAGTTGTGATATCCATGTTAGGGTCCAAGCCAGGAATAACCTATATGCGTTCCTGCCTGTTAAGTGTGACGTTTTAGGGTAATCTATCAAAGCCTAGGTTCTGCATGTAACAGAAATCTGAAATCCGTAAGTGGTAACTAAGACAGCTCAGCAGCACTTCTGAACGCCCGGCCACGCGGGCCTCACTTACCATGTACATGGATGCCGTTTGGTTGGAAAGAGGCGCTTGCTTCTGGGGGGTAGGACTTGAGGTGAGCCCCTGCCGGCTGCTGGGCGTGGGGAGGCTGGGTTCTCTGCAGCAAGGAGGAGGGGGCTGCTACCCTGCGGGGACTGATGTGGTGTGGAGACGGAGCTGAAGGCACAAACCTGGAAAACAAATTTAGGAGGAAACGTGAGGGCAGGAAACGGCACAGGAACATTCAAAGTCAAATGCCAACACCCTGCGCTTCCGATACCATGGTGGGTGGCAAGTCCTGCTGCTGTGCTGTGTACTGTTAAGCTGAAACCAACCACAGCTCACCCTACCAGGGGTTTAATCACAGTTAACTGCATGGGAGAAGACTGCCCATCTTTCTACTGTGGAGCAGCTGGTGGATTCGAACTGCGTGCCTTTGGGATTACAGTGCAGCTTCTTGCCACCAGGCCTCTGGGAAAGGGGGGACCCTTGGGACTTTTCTCTCCCACTTTTAACCATGAAAACTTCCAATTAAAGGAGCCCTGCTGCACAGTGGTTGAGCTCTCCACTGCTGATGGAGAGGTTGGCAGTTCCAGCCCACCCAGACCCTCTGTATGAGAAATACCCAGTGGTCTGCCCTGCACAGATTAAGCCCACTGCCCACACAGCAACCCTACAGCACAGAGTAAACCTCCCCCAGGGTCTTCAAGGCGGCACATCTTTACAGAGCGGCAGGGAGACCCCTGGGGCAGCTCTGTTCTGTCACCTGGGACCCCTGAGAGTCAGAACCGGCTTAATGGCACTCAACGACGACAACAAAATCTCAACTGGACTGTGGGCTGAACAAATGAACCCCACCCAGTTTGGTAACATACAAAGCATATTTGGAGGGGCCTTTCTCTGGCTAATTTTAAAGTCCATTTGCATCTTTGGGGAAATTGGGCTCATCTGTTTCTAATTCATTTACACTCAGCCCATAAACACTTTGTTTCGTAAGATGTATCTGATATCCAAGAAGTGTTACAAGTCTTTATAAATCCCTCTATCGAAGTTTTCTTTTGCCAAGGGTAAATTCTCTTACACCTCAAAAGGACAAATGTGGTTTGAAACCTAGAACCCAAGAGATCCCAAGAGCGGTCAGTGCTTGGCAAGGCCATTCTGCAGGGAATGACTGTCACCGAGGGACACGTGGTCCTTGTAGAGGGGGCAGGCACACACTGGTGTTTAAATAACACGACACTATCACATGATCTGAGCTATGAAACGGACAACTGCACACTGATAGAACTGTAGGAGAGAAATGACGATTTCTGACTTAGGTTCACAAATGACAGTCCATCCTTCCAAATCCATCAGCTGCTCCCAGAGCAAAACATGGGCAATCTCCTCCCATACAATTTACAGCCTCCAAAAACCCACCGGAGGGCCAGCTCTGAGTCTGTGCCAACAGGATGACACATAACCACCATCACCGTGAAGGGGGATCCTGCAGTCAGGTAAACAGGTATCGTCTCAGTAACTGGAACGATCCTGAGAAGATGGCTGCATGACTTTAAAGTTGAACAGGGAGGACAGCTGGCTCTCCTCTGGGAGCGGCGAGTGAAAGGCCTGCACCACGCCTCCTTGTCTGGAGGAGATTCCCTCGAGCACATCTCCTTAGCATCTTTCATGTTTCACAAGCCTCTCTGAGCTTGGAGGAGACATTTGAAATTGTGGGACCGGGGACTTTATGGATAGAAGGAGTCCACATGGTCCCGGTATCCAGGAGGCAGGGTGCCTGGTTCCTGGGATAGAGGGAGGAAGGTGTCTGAGCTGTGAGGCAGTGAATGTCACGGCCATGTGGCTTCTCCACCGCAGTTTGGGGGCAGGAGAGCACATATCAAGCAGCTCTCTGGTTCTAGTCCATGTTTAGCCAGATATTTTTTAAAAAAAGGAGAAAAGAAGGCCAAGAAAGAGAGAACAAAAGAAGGAAGAAATAAAACATTGAACAGTTTAGTGTTGTTGAGTCCAAGGGCACTTGGGAGGCATTATAGTAAGGAGTTATGCTGCCAACCCAAATGTACATGGTTCGAATCCACAAGCTGCTCCATGGAGAAGGATGGGCAGTCTCTTCTAATGTGACTAACTGCTTCTGAAACCCAGCTGGAGGATCTGCTGTGAGTTAGTTCAGACCTGAAGGTACATAATCTAAATGAATCATGAATGTCACAGTAGAACTCAGCTCTACAGGGTTTTCAGTGGTTGGGTTTTTCACTTTCTCACTTCAGGAGATAATATTTCTTCTGAAGTGCTTCTGGTGGACTTGAACCTCCAATCTTTTGTTTAGCACTGTTTGCTGCCCCCAGGGTTGCTAGGTGGCTGTCCAGGCTTCCCTTCTGATCTCTCTGCCCCTTTTCTTTCTGCAGATGCCCACAGAGTCAGAAAGATGTGTCTTGAGGACAAGCTGGTAGCTAAGTCTTACGGATAAGAACCACTTTGTTTCACACTGTCTCCTGCCACAGGCGTAAACAAGGATTTGATCAACAGTCAGTAAACGGAGGGATGAGGGACAGGAGACAAGCTTTTCAGCGGGAAACTCCATCCCTGGGGCAGGTTTTCCCAAAGCATCACACCCTTTAGTTCCTTGACTGCTGCTTCCAGGGGCGTTAACTGTGGGTCTGAGCACAATGAAATCCTTGACAATTCTCATCTTTCCTCCACTTATCATACTTCATTATGCTGTTTATTGGCTCAGCTGTGAGGATGTTTGCTTTTTTGATGTTGAGGTGTACTCGATACTAGAGACCTTGTAACCCAAACTGACAGATGCCTCATGAAGAGTATATATAGCCCTCTGGTGACCTAGTGGCAAGAAACTGCACTGTAATGCTGAAGATACGTGGTTTGAATCTATCAACTGCTCTGCGGGAAAAGGACGGGCAATCTCCTCCCATGTGTTAACCGCCTCTGAAAACCCGCCGGAAGGTCAGCAATGTTCTAGACAGGATTAGACGGTACTCAGCAACAACAGTGTAGTGTATAACATGATGGGCAGTAACTGAAAGGTCAGTAGTTCAAATCCACCAACCATTCTATGTGAGAAAAAGGAACAGTTTCCTCTGTGAAGGTTCACAGCCTCGGACACCTGATGGGAGGTCACTGAGTCAGAATTGCCAGGATGGCAGTTCCTGGATGATAATGAATGAGGTTCGTTCCTAAGAGTGTCTTGTGTCTCCAAGTTAATTTGAAGTTCATTCAGAGCCGGGGCATCTGTGTCTTAGTTAGCTTTCTGTTGGTCTAAGAAAAGGCACAGAGCCTTCCCAAAGATTTAGAAACTCCAAGTGCAGGTGAAGGTGGTGAAGAATGTGTTGTGACAGCTTCAAAGTCAAGGTCAATTAACCCAACATTAACGGCTAAGTAGAGTGATCCCTGAATCAGATGTTAATAGCCAGAGGCTCACTATAGATAAGATTCTTGACAGGCAGATAAAAAGCTGCTGGCCAGTCCGGTTGGACCCATGGCGATCGCATGTGCAAATGGAACCATGTCTGGCCAGGCACCTTCTGCATGATTTCCAGCAAGTGTGGGCCCTACTGTTGGAGCTATTATTCCAGTCCATTTCACCAAAGGTTCGCTCCACCTCACTGACCCTCTAGTTCACCAAGCATCATGTCCTTCTGCAGCGACTGGTTCCTCCTGACAATGTATCCAATACAAAGAAGTGAGAAATGCATAATGTCTGCATTCACTGTTATTATTGTTGGTTTTATGTGCTGTCAAGTTGCCCGTGACCCATAGTGACTCTAGGTGCAGAATCTCTGAACGTTTCCCTGTCCTGAGCCAGTCTCAGTAATTCTGACACACCAACCCCATTGCTCCAGTGACTGGATCAATCTATCTCATCAGAAGTCTTCCTCTCCTGTGCTGTTCCTCCACCCTTCTGAGCACGATGTCCTGCTCCAAGGACCAGTCTCTCCTGGCCACGTACCCAAAGTATATGAGACAGAGAGTAAAAATTGTAACCTCCAAGGAGAAACTTGGTTTTACCCAAGACAGACCTACTTGTTTTCTTGGGGATCGATGGTATGCTCAAGACTCTTCTCCAGCACCACAACCCGAAGGCATCAACTCTTCTTCTGTCATCCTTAGTCACTGTCCAGCTCTCTGAAGCATAACAAGTAACTGTGAAGACCACGGCCTGGATTAGGCACACTTTAGTCTCTAGGTCGACATCGTTGCTTTTCAGCACTCTGGAGAGGTCCCTGCCAGCAGATTTTCCCAATGCAATCTTTTGATTTTCTGACTGCTGGTGTTAAGAATGTAGATTGTGGATCCGAGAATGTCGTAATTGTTAACAACCTCAATCTCTTCTCCATCTATCATGGTGCTGTCAATTGACCCAGTGGTGAGAATTTTTGTCTTCTTAATGTTAAGCTCTGATCCATATTGAAGACCTTGACCTTCTGCAGCAAGCACTTTGGGTCTTCTTCAGTTTCAGCAAGCAAGGTTGTGTCATCTGCATGTACTGTAGGCTGCTCATGAGTCTTCCTCCAATCCTGATGACATAGTCTTCCTCATAAAGCCCTACTTCCTGAATGATCTGTTCAGCATAGACTTAAAAAGTATGGGGACAGGATGCATCCCTGATGCACCCCTTTCCGGATTTTGAACCATACGTGCTGTACTGGCTACATTTAAGAAATCAGTCATCTGGCTTTATTTCCCCATCTTAGTCTAGAAGCTCCCCTGAAACCTGTCCACTGTGGGTCATCTCGATGGGATTAAAAGTCGCGATGGCCAAGATCCAGCATCTCAGCAATACAGAAGCCACCACAGTCAGACACACTGGCAGATGGGTGGTGGATATTTTTTACGTAATTAATACTAATTACAAGACATGCTCATCTATCTATCTATCTATTCACTCAAGTAAGTTCCAAACTCTGGCCATAATCTCTTGGCTACCAAGTACTAATTAAAACCCTAACAATGTTGAGGGGAAAAAAGAAAGAATACACTCCAAGGATACTGTTTGACTTAGGAGTCTGGCAGTTATAAAATAATACTAAGGCGTGGATGGAATATACCGTTTACTTTTTATGAGTCTAGACGGAAATTTTCTCCACGGTGTTCAAATAAATAACAATAGGTAGTATCAAATTAATGAAATAAAAATATCATATGTGAGCTCATAGAGCGTATTAATTTAAAA